CAGCCCTCGGGTCACGGCCATGGCCGCCCCGGGGCACATCCCTTCCTACCGGCCTTTCTCAGCCGGGTCTCTCGCCCTGAGGCACAGCGCAGGTGACCCTAAGCGCGGCTGAGGCACCAGCAGCCCCGAGGGAACCGTCCTCAGGGCCGCAGGGGCCCCACGCATCCCGCTCCAGAACTGAGGTACTCGGCGGGCGCCCTGCAGCGGGAGAGCCTCCTTCAAGAGGGCTGCAGGAGGCCGTGCTCCTCCACAAGCTCTAGGGCAGCTGTTGGCACCCCTGCTCTCCTTGCTCGCTTTTGAACACTGCTGTCGCGGCACTGCTCCGAGGGCTCCATCAAGCACCGGGCCCGCGGGAGTCAGGCCGCTCCCCTCTCCTTTTCCCCGGCCGCTGCACAGCAGCAGCTCCCACGGCTGCGGAGTCCTGCAGCGCCTGGATGTGCTGAGGCTGCAGAACATAACTCCAAATGGCAAAGGGAAGACTTTTTATAGCTCATGAACTCCAGCACTTGTGCAAGGCAGGGGGTGTCGAAAAGGCAGAGGCTTTTGCGCTGGCCACCCCCAGGGGAGACCTGGGACCTTCAGCAAATGCCTGGAGGGCCTGCAGGGCCTCGGGCACTGCCAGCAGCGCGTAGCGTCAAAGAAACCCACGCTAGGAGGGATGCACAAAGTAGAGCTAACAGCTAAAGGCAAGTCCAAAACACCATTCCGGATCCTGCTGCAGCTCTGGGCGGGTGCTGGCAAGAGTTTAACAAGCCAAGGTGAGAGACTGCTATGTGGTGAGGGAGGAGAGCTCAGAGACCCTCTCTCCTATATGAGCCTCATGGCCAAACGCCTGAGCTGGGATTCCTCAAGCACTTCAGGACAAAGGGACCTAGAAGTTGTGCCAGCCCTGCAGGAACACGCTGGACTTCCTTTATGCTCCCTCCAACCTCTATAAAGTTCCTCATTAGAGGAAGCCGATGCTGGCGACTTTCTGTATGATAGCTCAGTTGAATTTAAAGGTCGTAGGGTGCCTAGTGAGAAAGCGTGTCTAATAAAAGGCACAGAAACAACTGCAGTGCCAGCAGATTAAATTCCCCTAGCAAGAGGCTGAGCGAAGGGCTAATGGTCCTGGAAAGGTCACTCAGTACGAGATGCATTTCAAAGAAAGACACGGACAAGGCAAGTCTGGGAAAAGCAGTTGGGAAGAGATGAATAAACCAACACAGCATGTCGCAAGAAGCCAAGACATCAGAGGAGGGGAGGCCTGGGGTACATGAGGCACAGTGGGGTCCTGGCCTGGCTCCTGCAGGCCGCAGGAAGGAGCGTTAGGATTCTGCACCCAGTTCAACATTGCAATCTCAACCCTCTTTGGTCCCACAGCCAAACTTTAACACTGGAACCGCTGCTGAGAAAAAGCAAGCAGGACACTGTGTTATGTTGTGACTGAACAGTGACCTGCAGGGGCATTCTCCCTGTTTCTGGGACAGCACACGAGGGTGCAGAGCCAGGAGGGAGCTGACACGGCCCTGTTCTGCACTCTTAGCAAGCCCAGCAGGCACCAAACCAAAGACAATGATGCACTGGAGCCACAGAGAAAAGTGTGTCTCCCTTCTCTTCTCCAAGTTTATTATTATTTTAAACATTTGTAAAGTACACTGCTAGTCAGAGACTCAGCGGCACTAGGACCTGGAACAGGGGTGGACAGCGAGACCTGCAGCAGCTCTGGCCTGCCAGCCCAGACAGGGATCAGTGAACCGCTGGACACGCTGGTCTGAGCAAACACGAGCGGAGTGAGCCAGCTTTGGAGGACCAGAGAGGCACGTCGCACCCGGCCGGACAAGGGGCAAGTTTCAAAGGCACAGCACGAGGCATGAGACCTCTGTCCTCTCTTGTGATGCTGGAGGTCTCCTTGTACCTCTTGCGGATCACATGTCCATGGCTGCCCCTTGGGCTAGCGGGCACAGTTTCCAGCACCCTCGCAGGAGAGGCAGCAGGGAAAGTGTGGAACCTGCTTGCTCAGCTCCTGTAAAGCCACGCGTAGAAGCAAAGACCAGGCTAAGGCACAGACTGGAGCAAGCCAGAGAGAAGGTAAAAAGCTGCTGTGAATGATTCACCTAAACCCAACTGCTCTGTCAGGTACACTGCCAAGGGCTGCACAGCCTGCCAGCTGCTCAGAAAGACTTTGGGGCTGTTGGTCCCTGCATTGCCAAAGCCAGCCAGAGGACAAACCGATACGAGGGAGAAAGGCTGTCCGGGGACAGCCAGTGGGCATGGAATTAGCACAGGCAAATCTGTGACAGCAGGGGAGTTCCACGGGTGCAGGGGCCAGGTTTGACTGCACGAGCGAAAAACTAAATAAGTTCTAAAGTCTCACTCTGGAGCTGCCCTCGCACACAAAGCGTTGGCTGCCCTGTTCAGCAGCAGCAGCTGGCAGTGGCTGGGGAAGCAGCACGTGGCAGGGTGGCAAAGAATGCTATTTTCTTCACTGGTGCTTCCTAGAAGGAACAGTGATTCTCAGCCCCTTTGAAAGTCCTTAGGAGCTTCACTCGCCCTGGTGGAGCCTGGGAGGGAACTGTGCTCTCTCCATGAGACAGCTGAGCCAAAAGCAACGGCAGCAAGCAGGAAAGGGCTGGTACCATGCAAAGTGGCCCCACGGGGCTAACAGCAAAGCTTGTTCTCCCAGGCAGTGCCTCCTGCACAGCCCATATCGATCAAGACAACCTGGCAGAGTCCCTCTGAGAACTGAATCCATCGCAGCAAGAGAATGTGAAAGGAGGAAGACGCTCAGCCTCGCTCAGGGCAGGCCCTAGACAGCAGCAGAAGCTAAACGAGCCCTTCAAAGAGAGGGGGAGATCAGCAGGTACCTCTGTGCGGATGCCAGGCTCAGGCTGGCAGCGTCCAGGGCTGAGAAGGGAAACCTCTGCCCTTCCAGCACTCTGCAAAGGCTCCCAGGAAATCCGGACTCCTTACAAAGCTGTAGCATCAGAGCAAGTTGGTGCAGGGAGGAGCTCTCCGCTCTTCTCGGCAGGATCAGTGGTTTTGCAGGCAGAGCCCACTTACATGTGCTCAGGGTGGTTCTGGAGACACTTGATGACATCAGTAACAGGTTTGCCCTCGTAGCAGATCTGATACACAGCTGTGAAGAGGGGGAACCTGTGGGCAGATGAACAAAGTCACCCCCTGTGCTGTCAGCATCAGAGCACCTCAGCTTCTGTTGTGACATACGCAGGACCACTGGGCAGAAGCAGGTGGGACAGTGGCATGGTGCCTCATCCATCCATTCCTGCCCAGCGGGTTTGATGTGGGCAGCACAGAGATTGACCTGAACGGTGTGTTTCCTCTCCCATAGCCGCAGGAAAGATCTCAGCCCCATGCCAAAAGACCAGACAACAAAGATGAGAGGACTCACTTGTCCACTACGTTCTTGCTTTTAAGAATGCGATGCAGCTCAGCAGACGTCTGGGGACCCTGCAGCTTCTGCCCATTCAACAGCTCCTTCTCCAGCTGCTCAATAGACTGAAACGACCCAACAGTGAGGGAGCTGGACCCTGCAACCCCGCCTGCTGCCCCACGCTCCTTCCCTGGAGCCAGGCTGCAGCACTGGGCGAGTGAAGGCAGGATACCACGGTGCTAACCGGGTTCACCTCCCTGCCTGCTCAGCAGGTTGATGCAGATACCAGCGTTGCCTGCTCCCCGCCCTGCTTACCTTCCCCGTCTTGGCAAAAGCCTCAGCCACCTTGCGGTTGCGGCCACCGTAGCAGGTAGTGATGAGGTCAGCAACCCCGCAGCTCTCCAGGAAGGTGGAGGAGGTAACGGGGCCCTTACAGAAGAGTTTGGCGAAGCCAATCATCTCCATCAGTCCCAGACGGATCACGGCAGCCTTCGTGTTGTCTCCGTAGCCGAGCCCATCACAGAACCCAGCTCCTACAGCCACAACGTTCTGGAAAACAACAGCAGCACAGAGGGATCTGTTCCCAATGGAGCTGGGGGCTTCGCTGTGTCCGTGAGCTGCCTGTGAAGCACAGGCTCTTGCCTGCCCCTGCCTACGCCAGCGATCGTCATTCCTCCGAGCAGCTGAACAGGACACATGCACAGTTCCCTCTGAAGTCTGGCCTTTGAACCAAAGGCCTAAACGAGCCACAGTGCAATATCCAGTGCGGTTCAATCAACTGGCAGCCTCCTCCCCAGAGCTCCCTACAGCACCGCAGGCTCTCCCTGCAAACCCCAGTGAGCGGTCCACCCACCTTGAGAGCCCCGCAGATCTCCACGGTGTCCGCTTCCTGCACCACCGTCACCCGAAAGTTCGGTGTCTGCATCAGCTCCTTCAGCGTCTGCCCGTGCTGCGCGTTCTTGCAGCCTGATGAGACAAAGGGAGGAGGAGGAAGATGATGGGGGGAGACCCTAAGGTAGGACTGTGCTGCTGTCCTGCCCAGTGGTGCGTTCCAGCAGCATAGCCCTTGCACCTAGTGCAGCGAGAAGAACCCACTGCCCAACGAATGGACTTTGCTAAACATTTGCAGGTCCACAAAGTGCCAAGCATGCATTGCCTGACAAAGAAGCACGGCTGAACCTTGGAATTCCCAGAAGATGGGGACAATCCCTACTGCTTTGTCAAGCAAGACCAAAGTGACATGCCCAGCAGATTACAGGCATCTTCAAAGGTTGCAAATTTGGGTTTGGACACTGCTGTTCTCCCTGTTCCTGCAGCGTCCTGCATGAGAATGTTTCTGTGTGCTCACAGTGATAGCATGCTCTGCTTACACGTCTCCAGTCTCTGCAGTGTCCGGCACAGCATGTTTGCTTTTTTTTAAAATACGCTTTGAATCGTGTAACTTCTAACCCAGAAAACTGTTGTGTTGGTTTTGGCTGCCGTGCATGCTTCACAGACAGTTTGGAGCATGTTAGGAACAGTCACCAGATGAACTTTCAAGCAGCCCTGGCTGGCAATAACACGACATCCAGGTGAGCGTCCCTTGAAGCCCAAGGAAATGAAGGTAGGAACTCTGTTTCCTACAGGGTGTCTTAGCATCCACCCCTTTGATTTGCGCCAGGCAGACTGCCTGATGCTCAGAGTCCGTGCCGGCAGGAGCTTTTAGCCACACAACTCTGTCTTTAATGAAGCGAGCAATTATATCGTAAACCCTGTGAACGAGTTCATCCAGCTCCTACGGAGTCTCTGCCTCCAGAGGGAAGAAGGGCCAGCTCACCCGAGGCAGCAGTACTTTCAGCTGCTCCGTGCTCACCCCGTTGCCTCTTCCTGCTTGTCAGAAACGAAGGCTGCTAATGAGGAGGGATGGTGGCTCCTTACCGATGGTTGTTTCACAGAACTTCCCTTCTGCCACTTCATTAGCGATGTTGGCCCCCATGAGGACGCTCATGTCTATTCCCAGTTTTTCATGGATAATGTCTGAGATCAGCCTCAGCCCATCTGGTCCTTCGTCCACCCCCTGGGAGACAACCAGGGACAGAGATGAGCATCTGCTGCCCTGGAGACCCGGCTCCACCTGCCCCAATCCCCTCATTCATTCCCTGCGCTGCAATGCTCCGACTCCCATCCCGACAGCCCCCTCAGCGCTCCGCTGCACCCCACTCCTCGTAGCGCTTGAGATCCCCCACGTGCCCTCACCCTTCTCCTCCACCAATCTGCCTCCAAACCCCCACAAAGGCTCTGCCCCCGCTTCCCGCTCTCCCCACACTCCCCCCA